TTCTTCTTGTTTCTTTTCTCGTTCTTCTTGTTTCTTTTGCTGTTCTTGTATTGTTGCCATCAAATCTGCTAAGTCGTAGTTTGATTTGCCTCTTCTCGTTTCCATCTCTTTTTTTTTCTGTCCCACTCTTTGACACCAATTTGTTACGTATCTGCTTGTTTGATAATTTCTGGTAAAATTCTTTCCGATGAACTTCAGCGATACATGTCCTTTCTTGATTAAAACTAGTTTATTCTTTCTCAATACAACTTTGTAATACACAGTAATTTCACTATCAATACATTTCTCGTCTCTTTAAATTAACTACTTTTATAATACACGCTATAAATCACAGCGATTCACAAGCTCAATAACTTCGCTCTATGCGATGACTGCAAAACACACAATTTATGGCTCAACGTCACTACTGGTCGGTTGACTCAATTATCTATCTATAACTATTGCTGGCTTGTATGCCAGGCTTATATACTAAAGAAGAGGGCGTCTCGAATGCACTAGGAAATTCATGATCATTCAGGAAACTCCAGTGTGCATGCTCCCAGCATCAAGCGATTTCTGCTGTCGTAACACTTGCAATGCTGATCAAACAAAACAAATGAAACACCAGTACTTTGAATCTGGTTACCACTGTAATCTGAAATAAATATCTATACAAAACTTTAATTTGCTCAGACAAATAAAAGTAGAGCTAATTTTTAAAAAGTTGAACATTTTTGTGAAAACAAAATTAGAAATGTGTAGAGAAATCTAAAAAGGTAGGGCTACTGAATATGGATTCATGTATTACAATTTCCTTTTTTGTTGCTCTCCTATTACTAGACAGAGTTGAAGGTATGAAATATCTGTGACAACCTGATAGGCTTGGTGTCACTTATTTTTCAATAGATGTCCTAGTTTAGGATAACCTAATGTATTCGATGTTCTTAGACTGGGATTTACAAAATGTGCTATAGGTTTAAGTGCGAGTAACTGAAGTCATAAAGTTGTATCAATTCAGATTTCAATTGTCTCAGGAACATCTAAATTATTTCTTCCTATTTTCATATATTTTGGAATATTTCACACACAAGGAGGAGCTACTCTTGTTCAGTGCTACCCTCTATACGGCAAAATATTTTTGCATGCCACAAGCCTTGCACTCCCACGTACCCCAAAATCATTGTGGTTCACATGTGTTTTGCATGTAAATCATCATGTGACAACATCACACCAATAGGAGTGCAACACACCCTCCTGACGCACGCGACTACCTCTATTCGATTCTCCTGAACTATCACTTCTCGTTAGGCAGTGCTCTAATGCATATGTTTTTTATTGTGTTCTCTTCGAGCATTTTTTCTTTAACATTTCATACAAATGGGTTTGTTTGTTTGTTTGGAATTAAGCACAAAGCTACACAATGGGCTATCTGTGCTCTGCCCACCACGAGTATCGAAACCCGGTTTCTAGGATTGTAAGTCCACAAACATACCGCTGTGCCACTGGGGGTCCATACAAATAGGAAATATTTTTTACTACAGTTTGTTTCTGTAGTTTTAGGTGGTAACTTACCTTTGTTGTTCTTTTTTTTTTAAATTTTTCATCATTACATGATAAATTCCGAAATTCATGTTACCTCTTTGAAGGTTCTCCTACCTACTTCCAGCACAATTACACAGGCTTCCAGTTGGTGCAACTCGACTGAGGAATTTTCGGCTTTCATTTATCGGGAGATTGTTCGTTATATGAGTTGACATTCTTCTTCTTCAGATATTACTAGAATCTGTCAAACCTGTTTGTAATGACGAGGCTTTTGACAGCCATTTTCCTCCGCCTCACTATGCTGTGCCTTCTCAAGCCTTTCCTGCAGAATCCTCTATGCCTAGCTCAGCCTCTTTAGACGTGATTTCTCAGGTGTGTTCCATTTTATCTATTTCCCCGATTTCCCATAATCCTGTTCCTTCCTTATTACATGATACCCTTCCTCACAGTATTCTGTTTTCTCTCCTTCCCCTGATATCAGGGTTCATTCTGAGCATTTTGTTTCTCAGTTGCAAGTGAGTGCTAGCATGCCTTACCCTCCACAGGCCTCGGATCATTTTGCCTTGACTTACCATCAGGCAGATTACCCTTTTCTTGATTCTCAACAGTTAGAATCACTTTTGCCTGTATGGGGACTGACCCTGACAATCCTATCTGTTTATCCCACACCCAGTTTTTTTTACCCTTATGACTCTCCTATGGTACTTGTCCACCATACACTCCCTCTCTGATGCACTCCACCAATCTCCTGAGGGGTTTTTGGGGGATACATTCTCCATCATTACCCTTTTACATTTATACACCCTTGTTCTTCTAGTGGAAAATGGGAGTCCTTACCACTTAACAGTTCTGAGCCACTGGGGTGGTGGACCATGGAGGTATCCTCCTGAATGTGATCACACAATAACTACCAAAAAACTAAAAAATCCATTTAGTAGAAAGTTGGGTGGCAGTGGTGTTCCACTGGTATAAATGGCTGCTGTGAAGTTCTACCCGAAGGGTGCAGTTGCATATAATTGGTTGAGGCGATCCCCTTCCATGCAGTGGGACCCAGAAGTTTGCAATGTGCTTCAATTCTGTATGGTCCTATCTGAAGGGATGATATTGCACATGTTAACTAAAAATATGCTCCAT